CTTAATCAGTGAGAGTATGGTTATATACCTTAAAAACGATAAGAAACTGAATATTCCATTCTCAGTAATAAAAAATATTCAAAATTAAACTTTTTTTTTGTACTGATGTGTACTTATATATGATATTAGAAATTACTTAATAAACAAACATGCTCGATATGAGATATATTTGATAAAACATAAACTACTTAAAAATAGGATTAACTTAAAAAATGTATTTTTATTCTAATAGATGACCGCCTAATTTTCACATTTATAATACAAAGTTTAACATATCCCTAATTAACAGTTAAAGAAGAAACAGAGGAAACATCGATTGGAAAAGGCACGTGTTTTTTACGAGTTGTCTTCGTTTACCCAAAAAAAAAAGGGAATTCGAGAAGATCAAATCGATAGCAAGATTTGAATGTTAACAAACAGACAAAGACTAAAAAGTACAAAATAATTATCATTAAAAAAGTTTTTAAAAAGCCTCGTTTTCTGATTGAACTAAAAAGTAGAAAATAAATGCTATACATCACAATAATGCAAGCGATCACTCTACTATAAGCGATGAAAAACGTGGGGAACCGTGATTTTCTTACAGTTTCCAATACTGTTGACTCTCTACAAGCTCCCTAATAAAAGTCAATAGTATTATCTAATCAATAGTAATATAACTTTTACATCTTATATTAACAATGACCATTAAAAAACTTTTACTTTGGCGCTCCACGTTTTTCATCGCTTATAGTAGAGTGATCGCTTGCATTATTGTGATGTATAGCATTTATTTTCTACGTTTTAGTTCAATCAGAAAACGTGGGTTTTTAAAAACTTTTTTAATGATAAATATTTGATATCGTGTTGAAAATGGAGGGGCATTACCTTGTTGTCCATACCAAGTAAAGTCCTTACGAGAGTCATTTTGGACAGAATGAAAGAGGCTGTTGACCTTAAGCTAAGAGAGGAACAAGCAGGATTCAGGAAGGAAAGATCTTGTACAGATCAAATAGCCACTCTTAGAATTATTGTAGAACAGACGATAGAATGGCAAGCCCCGCTTTACATCTGCTTTGTTGACTTTGAGAAGGCCTTTGATAATGTGGATAGGCAAACAATATGGAATCTGCTGAGACACTATGGTGTACCTGCTAAGTTAGTGGAAATAATCCAGCAACTTTAGAATGGATTTTCATGACAAGTTAGCCATGCTTGGAAATGTGCCTAAAGATTTCCAGGTCAACACAGGTGTGAGACAAGGATGTCTGCTGTCGCCCCTCCTCTTCTTGGTGGTTGTCGATTGGGTGACACGCACAGCCTATGCCAGTTCTGGAAAAGGTATTCAGTGGACACTCACGGGGAAACTAGAAGATCTGGAGTTTGCAGATGATCTTGTCTTACTCTCGCACAGGCTACAGGACATGCAAGAAAAAGTTGATGCATTAGGAGCCATCTCGCAGTGCGTAGGTCTCAAAATCAACAAAGAAAAGACAGAAATGATGAGAATTAACAATAAACAGGAGGCTCCAGTGACAATAAACTGAAGACAGGTAAATGATGTGCAAGAGTTTGTCTACCTTAGCAGCAAGATCAGCAAAACGGGAGGCACAGAGGAGGACATACGCGCTAGAGTTAATAGAGCCCGCTGCGCTTTCACAGTCCTGCGACCCATATGGAAAAGTTCGGCCATCTCCATTACCACAAAAATTAGGATATTTAACTCTAATGTCAAGGCAGTTCTGCTGTATGGAGCAGAGACATGGAGAGTCTCCAAGGCAAGCACAGCAAAGATACAGACCTTCATGAATAGATGCCTTAGACAGATACTGAAACTGAGATGGCAGGACAAAGTGTCGAACTTGGAACTATGGAGGAAAGCTATGGGTGTGCAAATAAGAAGGAGGAAGTGGCGCTGGGTGGGTCACACACTGCGAAAGGCTCACACAAATGTTACACGCCAAGCGCTTGAGTGGAACCCCCAGGGAAAGAGGAAGAGAGGGCGCCCAAGACAGACCTGGAGGGGGAGTCTTCTTGAAGAACTGAAGCCAACAGGGATGTCTTGGGAGATGTCAAAATTAATAGCCGAGGATAGGAAGAAATGGAAGGAAATGGTGGAGGCCCTATGCTCCATAAGAAGCAAAGAGGGTTAAGTCAAAAGTAAGTCATTTGATATCGTGCCCTACAGACAAGACGTGTTTTCACTGTCGAGCTAAGTTAAAAAATGTGTTACTGTTTGCCTTTTTTTTCTAATCTGTAACCACACTGTTGTGTGCTGATGAAGACATTGGGTCGAAAGGTCCATAGTTCTTCTTCTTCTTCGTTCTTAATTATTAGTGTTGAAGGGGATCGAGATTTATCTGCCAATGGGTTTTAAATCGAGACTGTTCGAATTTATCAACCATGAGCTAGGTCCATAGTATTTGTAACTGTCTTTAACTTGTGAGGTAACTAACACAATCTGTTTTATTACTAACTAGCGTACCCGACCTTCGCGCGTTGCCGCGGGGATAGAAGAAAGTTTGACGAAATATATTAGAAGGATTTCACCAACGCGGTACCAATCATATGTTCTTAGACGCGTGACCTTCTTTTCTAAAAATCAGTTATTTAAATGTAAACAATACCTGCGCTTGGATCATAAATATCAGGACGCGTGTTTACCTACACTACCGCATGAAAACCTTGAGTGTACATTAATCACTCACCGAATTAATATGGTACAACACACTTCGGTGACCGCCCATGTGTCAGCGACGTAGAGGCCCGCTCTCAGGAGCCCCCCGCCCCCCGATTACACTACCGCATAGGCGCTGTGTACGACACCTGGCTCCTTAAAATAGCATGCTGTTAACAATGATGCAGATTGCGTTATTCACTAAAGTGACTCAAATAAACAGGATTTGCTATTTAACACGTAAAAAAATATTTGACGCGTTTTAAACATCAGTGTGACTAATGCAAAATGTTAGCATTAGTAATGGTCTATTCTTAGATGCTCGATTTCAATTTCTCTTTGGATTATCTAAACTTACTAACTTAATCCTCATCACTCCCTGTGGAGTATAGGGCAGCAACAAATCTCCGCCTTTCCACCCTGTCCTGGGCGAGCCACTTTAGTTCATGCCAGGTTTTGCCAGTAGCCTGTACTTCTTCTTCCATCTCCCTCCTCTATGTTCCCAGTGGTCTTCCTCTATTTCTCTTTCCGGGTGGGTTCCTCTTCAGCGCCATGTTGGGGAGGCTTATTTTGCTCATGCGTAGGACATGGCCCAGCCATCTCCATCTCCTCGTTCGAACTTCTGAGACAATGTCGTTTAATCCTGTCCTTTGCCATATTTCCTTGTTCGGGACTTTGTCGTCCCACTTTATCCTGAGGATGCGTTGGAGGGATCTTCTCTCAAAGCCTCTGAGTCGGCTCTCTACTTTCTTGTTTAGTTTCCATGACTCTGCAGCATAGAGGAGTACAGAACGTACATTTGACTTATAGATCCTTATTTTAGTTCTCTGCTGCAGTGAGGATGATTTCCAGATCTTAGCGAGTCTGTTGAAAGCTTGTGCTGCCATTGCTATTCTGGTGGCAATTTCTTTCTCCATGCTGCCATTTGCTGATATATAGCTGCCGAGGTACTTAAAGTCTTCGACCTCTTCTAGCTCTACTCCATTCGCAAAGGTCTTGAAAGCACTTTTGGTTTTTATTTTCATTAGCTTGGTTTTTCCGGAGTTTATCTTTAGCCCAACGCTTTTGGCAATTTGCTCTATTCTTGTGGTTTTCGCTTGGATGTCTTTTTGGGCATGTGAAAGTAAAGCCAAGTCATCAGCAAAGTCACAGTCCTCTAGGTGGTTGGTAAGTTCCCAAACAATTACTCTTGGCTTATCCTCAGCGGCTCTTCTCATAACGCAGTCTATTACCACCAAAAAGATGACAGGTGAGATGACACAGCCCTGTCTGACTCCTGTTTTAAGTATGTTTATGACTTTTCCTGGAAAGCCATATAGCTCTAGTATCTTCCATAATGATGGATGGTGGATGCTATCAAATGCTTTCTAGAAATCTATGTAGTTGATGTAGAGAGACGAATTCCACTCCAGGGAGTGCTCCACGATAGTGCGCAAGACAAATATTTGGTCGTTACATGACCTATTGGCCCTGAAGCCAGCTTGTTCTTCACGAAGGATACCCTCAATTCCTTTCCTCATTCTTTGTAATAGGACTCTGCAGAAAAATTTTCCTGGTACAGACAGAAGATTAATGCCCTCCAGTTCTCACAAACATTAAGGTCGCCATTTTTGGGTAATTTGATAATGATTCCCCGTTTCCAAGAATCTGGGACTTTTTCTTCATTCCATACTTTATTGAAGATCCCTGATAGAGTTTCTGCACCTACTTTTGGGTCTGCCTTTAGCATCTCCGCAGTGATTCTGTCCTCTCCTGGAGCCTTATTGCTTTTTGTTTTTTGAATAGCTTCTATTATTTCTTGTTCTAGGATGGGTCCTCTATACATTTCAAAATGTATGTTCATGTCAGTGAAATCAGCAGTTTCTTCTGGGTCTGGTCTGTTTAGGGTCTCTTCGAAGTATTCAGCCCATCTTTTCAATTGGTGTTTCTCCGTTGTAAGAACTTTCCCGTTTTTGTCCTTGATAGTAGATTATCTATTTGCAATTCCTCCTGTTAGAGTCCTGATAATCTTGTAGACAGTTCTGCTATCTTCCTTATCAGCTGCAGCCTGTGCTTCTGTGGCCATTGTGTCTACATAGTTCCTTTTATCCTTTCTGGCATTCCTTTTTACCTCTTTTTGCAGTCTTCTATATTCTACATCGTTCCGTACCCTGCTTTCCATGGTTCCAGATAGTGTTTTGATTTTGGCTTTTCAATGAGATTCCAAGTATCGTTTGAGATCCATTCCTTCCTTTATTTGTTCCTGTGTCCTAGTATGCATTGGCTTGTTTTCGTGTATACATCCAGGATCTTCTCGCATTGAGTATTGGTGTCCTCTTCTGGTAGGTTCTCGAGTAGACTAAATCTATTTTTTTAGTTCAATTGCAAAGTTTGCCTTAATGGTGGGATCTTTTAGTTTAGCTGAGTCAAATAGCTGGTGGTTTACTTTCCTGTCGACTCTCCTAAGCTTGTGTTGTAGTTTGCACAAGACTAGATTATGGTCGCTACCCACATCAGCTCCTCTTATTGCCTTTACATCCCTCATGGATCTTCTCCACTTTTTATTTATAGCAATGTGATCGATTTGATTGCTGTTTCGCTTATCTGGGGATATCCATGTGGTTTTGTGCATTTCTTTGTGCTGAAATAAGCTGCCACCTATAACCAGACCACTTTCTAGGCAAATCTCTCTAAATCTTTGGCCGTTATTGTTTGCCTCTCCCAGCCCCTCCTTACCCATACAGAGCTCGTATCCATGATTACTGGCCCCTATTTTTGCATTCATGTCTCCCATGACCACAAAAATGTCATGTTGTGGAGTCCTGTCGATTTGATCTTGTAGAGTGTGGTAGAACATGTCTTTGTCTTCATCCTTTGCTTGTTCTGTCTGGGCGTAGCACTGTATTACGGTAATCTTTACATGTCTTGAGTAGAATCTGGCTCTAAGAATGCGAGAATTGATTGGTTCCCACCCTATTAGACTTTTCCTTGATATTTTATCCATTATAATACCAAATCCTTCCTGGTGTTGGTTATCAGATCTCTCAGAATAGATTATAGTTTCTCCTGATCCGAGTGTAGTCAGGCCTGAGTCTGTCCATCTCATTTCGCTGATACCCAGGATGTTGATCCTGTATCTTGACATTTCTTTGACCACTTGAGCTGTTTTGCTAGTTTCGTACATGGTACGCACATTCCAAGCTCCTATTCGTGTAATAATTTTGGGGGTTACTAAGGACTGTTTCGGAGTAGAGACTTCCTTGCGGCTTTCATCTAGACTCGTCATATCAGGCAAAGCTGCCTCGATCCTCGGTTTCTCTCCCATGATGGTTTGATTTAGATCTGCTGCCGTTTCTGTAGCGTTTTTATTTTTACATGGTGGGTTGCTAGCCCAAACCCAAAACCCTCCTCCTTTCCCATTCTGGACTTGGGACCAGACAATGGCGGAGTTGGATTATCTAAAAATAGATGCTAATTGCATCATTCTCAAAGTAACGAAACTGTTTGGATATTTTATGGACAAAAAGAAACATCCCAGTTAATAATCTAACCTTGGTTAATTTTTCTGATTATTAAAATAAAACGTATTACATGTCCCTCAGAGACCCCTGTGAGCCTTTGGGGGCCGAAACAGACATTTTTATTTGCAGGCTAATCGCACCCTACCAGGGCGCCAGAGGACACGCCTTATTCAATTTAGTAAGTTTCTAACGCCCCATCCTATCCATTGTCTATCACACTGTTTAAACCGAACGTATTCACCATAGCGCTCACGGGAAAGACCAGGGCGCTAAATCGCATCCTGACGGGGGGGGGGGGGGGGGGCGCCCATGCAAAATTAAATCCCCCGCCCCACCCCTATTCCCCCCCCACCACATAAACCTTCTCGGGAGTATTCATCAGCTCCCTAAAAATGTATGGCACCGGGATATATTGCGTGGAACCGTAACAGTCTTTTATTTATATATACCGTATATTGAGAAAATTCCCACCATTCCGTGGCGCCGCCCTTGCGAAATTAAGAATTATATTTAAAAGAACACTTCCTTAGAGTGTTCTAATCAACTCCATAAAGTCTCATGGCTATCGGGTGAACGCTGTCAAACCAAAATCGATTTTTATTTTTATATATCGTATACAAAGAAAAAACAAATCGCGCCCTACCGGAGCGCCAACCCTGTGAATTAGAAAATGTTTTTAACGCAGAAACCTCCCAAGAAATATTTTCAACATCTTCCCAAAGTTTCATGGCGATCGTGTGAACGGTGTCACGGCAGTTCTCTTTCATTATTTTTATACACGGTATATAAAGAAAAATCACACCCTCCCGTGGCGCAGCCGTTGTGAAATTAAAAATGATTTTTTACAGCACCCTTTCCCAGAGTTTTATAATGAAATCCCCAAAGTTTCTTGCGATGTGATAAGAGGTGTGGTAATGCATAAAAGACACAGACACACAGACATACAGACATACAGACATACAGACACACAGACACACAGACACACAGACACACAGACACACAGACACACAGACACACAGACACACAGACACACAGATACACAGACACAGACACAGACACACAGACACACAGACACACAGACACACAGACACACAGACACACAGACACACAGACACACAGACACACAGACACACAGACACACAGACACACAGACACACAGACACACAGACACACAGACACACAGACACACAGACACACAGACACACAGACACACAGACACACAGACACACAGACACACAGACACACAGACACACAGACACACAGACACACAGACACACATACATTGCTTTATGTATATATTATATAGATAGATTATACAATACACTAGGCTATGAAAATTTTCAGTCACCTAATTTTATATTTATATTTGTTGAGTATTTTTACATGGATACAATTAATGCAAAGCATTTTTTTTACATCTTTATAATGTCGTCCTTATACTTTTTTTTTATAGGCCTTCCTTTGTGTGGTTTAATGTATTGTTTGGTTTAAATATTTAATAATATATCCGTGTATACAACTTATGATAAGTGCGTTTTTTTTAATTCTTTTTTTCGTTTGTCTTTTAAACACATGATAAAAATATTCTGAATTGTCAAAAATTATTGTTTGGTTTAAATATTTAATAATATATCCGTGTATACAATTTATGATAAGTGCGTTTTTTTAAATTCTTTTTTTCGTTTGTCTTTTAAACACATGATAAAAATATTCTGAATTGTCAAACAGATAGGCCTAATAAATCTTGTTATTTTTACTTTCTCGTATATACGAAGTATTAGGAAAGTATTGTAATCGTGCACAAAAATCAAATGAAATTTTAACAATTTTCACCGTATTACACCTCAGTCCTTCATCACATCCGAAGTATAGAGGACTTATTTTAATCGGGCAAAAATTATCAATCCAGATTTATCAAAGTTAAGAGGTTTTATGCGTAATCCAGTCTGAAAAACTGGGCTTTGCAATTCTGTCCGTATGTCTGTGTGTGTGTGTGTCTGTCCGTGTGTAAACACGATAACTTGAGTACCGTTACAGCTAGGTTGATGAAATTTCATATATAAGTATTTTATCAAAATCGTAGATCCGTATCAACTTTTGAGCGATTTTCGATAACCGGAAGTGGTACTTTTTCTACTTTGAATTTTTCAAAAGCCTATAACTTGAGTACTATTTCAGATAGATAAATGAAATTTCACATGTAAGTATAAGATCTAACTCTCTACCTTCTGTCAAATTTTGAGTAATTTCCGTTGCTCGGAAGTACTAATTTACGCTACTTTCGATTTCTCAAAAAACTAATGTAAATTTTAAAAGTACTAATAATATTGCGCACTATTATGCACTTTTTTATTTGGCGTTCACTTGGTGTGCAATCTTTTTTCTACGAGATTTTATTCTATTTTTAAAACTTTAAGTATTTAAAATAGATTAAAAATCATGTCTATAGCCCGAGTTCCCATCCCCTGTTATTTTATATAAGAATATTCGAGAAAGTTTAGGGGAGATCACTCCCGGTTTATTTATTTAATGTGATAAAGACAATAAGGACCAAGGCTAATTGTACTGCGTAAATGAGCCCACACAGCTACGATGGTACTTTACTAACGTTACGGAACGTACACATTGACTAGGTTTTTCATACTTATGTCGAAATTACAGAAACATGTTAACTATATAATTGTACTGATTTTAGTTTGTGATGTTAGGAGGAATCAATTAATTTATTAACTTAATGTTTCCATTTCTATCATTATTTCGTCATGAAAGATACAACTGCATTCGGGCATTTGTCGCATTCGGGTAAGTGTCCATTCGTGAAATAGGCCTTCGAGCAAACGGCATTCGGGCAAGTGTCTTTCGGGAATTTGTCGTAGACCTTATTAAAATAGGTGAACTCTACTACGCCTTACTCAAAGACCGTCTGTCTTGCAAAAAACTTTTATAAAAATCGGAGATACAATGCTGGACTTAAATCTATAAAGCTCATTAAAAGGCAACTGTAAGAGACCAACGTACTATGATTGATTTGGAAGTTGGGGTGGAAGCTTTTAATTGAAATATACCGCTCAGTTGATTAAAACTGCCAGCTTGTCGAGTACAAAGGTGTTATATAACACGGGTGTTACAGTTTAGTGTGGCGCAGAGGCGTAGCGACCCTTCCCGGCGCCCGGGGACAAACTTTTCGATTTGCAACCCCCTCGAGATTTCGATTTGCACCCTCCACTCAAACTTTCGATTTGCATCCCCCCCCCCCCTCGAGATTTCGATCTGCACCCCCCCCCCCCTCAAACTTTTCGATTTGCAACCCCCTCAAACTTTCGATTTGCACCCCCCTCAACCTTTCAATGTATTTTTCCAACCCATTTTGGCGCCCCCTAAGGTCGGCGTCGGGGACATATGTCCCCACCCCCCCGTACCGCCCCCCTCGCTACGCTACTGGTATGGCGTTAAAATTAAAATATCCTTAAGCTTATTACATACATATTAAAAGCAAAAGAACGTTTTCAATTACGTCCATATGAAGCAATATATTTTATCTCTCTAGTTATGTGACCAGAAAATGCAATGTAGTGTTGAATTAAGTGACTATCACCTGACATGTGGTGGTGCCTGATGTGACCATCACCTGACATGTGGTGGAGACTCATTTGATCATCACCTGAGGTGTGTGAATGAGTCATGTGAACAGCATATAATTTTTGTTGATAAGTCTTGTGATTAACGTATGAGATAGGTCATAAGCATAATTCAATTATATAAAAAAAGAAAGCATAGTCTGCTACACAAAATATATGTTGCTCGGCCTTTTAACATGATAGATTAGTTTAAAACTATAGTTCATGAGACATACACTACTAAGTATACACATAGAGAAGATGACAATATATATATTTTACTTTCTCAAATACAATATACAAGTGTGAAACCTAAGTAAAGTTGTATCTCATTCGTAATTTAATAAAATATTAATAAAACCGAAGACATTTAAAAAAATATATCGTTTGCATTTGTAAACGCTGTATCAATATTAAATATCGTTCAATATTATTGCTGAAGCAGTGACAGGACTTTGTTGGGTTATTGCTTTTATCATTTCGTATAAAACTTATTTGTTTCTTAATATTAAGAAACGCATATTTAGTAATAATGCGAATTAATTAGGTATGAATAATGATATTTAAAATAACTCTATTTTTATTTGCATACATATGCTAAGCTTACTTGTGCTTTTAGAAGGCGTTTTGTTTGTTTGGGTATAAAAACGTCTGTTTGAAATAAACTAGATGAAACAAACCTAATATCATAGTTTAAATGTAACTACCGATTTTTCTTATTAAATTCTATCTATGTACTTTTTTTATTTTATTTTGAGAACCAGTTTTGAAATTGAGGTAAAAAAAAAACAGTTTGCCATCAATTCTCACAGCAGGGTCCGAGATTGTCGTGACATTTTCTCACTGGTATGTATGTTATGTAAAGCTTAAGACCAACATCCTGGTGATATAACGTAGAAAGCAAATTCTTATCTTGTTGCTAAAGTTGTTTTTCCCACGTTTTCTTTAACTTGCTTTCGCGTCTGTTTGTTTGTTTTTCCAATCAAATCTTGCGATCGAAACTTCGGGCACTTCCCAGTTAACTAGCACGCTGAAATTTTCAGGGAAGCTTTGTTTCCGATGATAATACAATATTCAATTATTATTATTACTAAATTGATCCATGGAAAACTTTTATTGATCATTTTAGACTTCTATTGATTTGTACCAGAAAAACGGGACATAACCCAATAATTGTAATTTGATGA